TTTTTTAACTCAGCATTGTTAATGGGAAATTTAAAGTTAAGAAATAGAAAAAAATAATAATCCTCTGTACTTGGGGCATTTACCCCCCTCAGCCTGTCTCCCTTCATTTCTACCCTCATCTCCTTCCTTGCTGATTGAGGGACTTATCTCCCACCCCCGAGACAGTACTTACCCAGTACTATGTAGTGTGTGTCACTCAGAGATGAGGACAGAGGCCATATATAGAACCATCCAGATTTCTAATTTCATAAATGTCCATTTTCCTAACACTTGCAGGCTTCCCCCTGTTATCTTGGAAATGTTCTTTTGCCAGAACAAGATAAATAGGGCTGAAATTCTAGAGATCCTTTTTATGTCCTGATGCAAAATGGGAATACCTCTTAAACAAGACAGCAACTACCCAGGCATTTATGTAATAAAATATTTTATTGAAGTCAGTCATCGTTAAACTGGCATCTTTCACAGGCTGCTAAAGTGCAGATTCTACGGTACAAAGCAAGCACTTCAGTCAGGCTTCTCGGGGTACCGATGACACCCAGACCTATACAGCAGAGTTCAGGTTCGGACCCGTGGCAGCATACCTTACGGAAATACTCCTACAGAGGTTTGGAATACCGCTGGGACCGTTCTACACTTTACCTTTCTTCATCTTCCAGAAAACTGAGTGTGGCTAGACAACTGAATTACTGTAATGGCTACCTCAGAACGGTGGCCTCATACTCTCAGATCTGAATTCTCAAGTCAGGCAGCACCATTCTGTCCCCATCACTCAGACTCAGAGGTGCAGGATGCACCCACACCGCGGCCGCCGGGGACAGGAGCCCCGGGGTTCCGGCCACTCTGGCTCGGCAGCTGCGGTCTTGCTGGCACTGTGCCACGCTTGACTGACAGAGAATTTTCTGCTTCTGTTGAATGGCAGCTTGGCTGTGCGACATACAACACTGTCATTTTACAAGCTGCTTTTATAAAATAAGGCCACTCCAGGCAACCTCTGCTCCCCTGAGGGAGTGCCAGGCAGCAAGCACACTGGCTGTGGGGCCGGCCAGTTGGTTGGCCAGGGGTAACTGCATGGCAGAGGGGATGTGCCCTGGCCCAGGTGGTGAAAACATACACTGGCTAGCCCGTTATCCAGAGTGTTAGGCATGTTCTTGAAGGTCATCGCCTGAGAGAGGTTAACTCGGAGTGGGAGCAAGGGCAGGCGAGCCGGCTTGGAAGATGCCTGGCTTGCTGTCTGGTGGGGCAGGTCGGCCCAGAGAACTTGCAGACTGAAAGCGGGTCTGAGCTGCTGTGAGTGAAGGGCAAGAAATGAATACACAGGAGACCCAGGCCGGCCATTCCCTTCCCTTCACTGAAAAACAGACGAGCTGGAAAACAGCAGCCTCTGCTTGGAGGTTTGCAAACTGGCTCAAGGGCTCTGTGAAGTGAGCAGGGCTGTGTGGCTGGGAGTGCCATCAGCATCCAGCAGGCATTCACTTCTCACCCAGGAAGCTGTCATTTGTGCCAGGGAGCAAAATCTTCTAGGCCTCCACTCATCTCAGAACTGGGGCTGGCTTCTCCCTAGGAGTGAGGTCCCACGTAGTCGCAGGCTGTCAGCCAATTGCAGACACTCAGAGGGGCTGTGCTCTGGCTCCTGGCCTTGTCCCGCAGCTCCCGGCCTCTTCCACCTTAGTGCAAATTCTGCTCCAGAACTTGGTGTTCTCGTCACACGAGGGGCACCGTTGTCTCCAAAACCTGCTGGAACCACAAGCTCAGGGCCACCAGCGCACACAGCAGACACCACACTGGCTAGCTCAAAAGAAGAAAATAAATAACTTGGCAGAATTATAAGTTATCTTAGAGAGAAAGCTTAATAATTTAGTTTTCTTTAACAACAACAACAAAAAAAATTTGGAGGTAAGAATGCTTTAAGGTCCTTATCTGCCTCCTTTGGCTTTGGGACACATCTAGGTTTCTAGAAATGCTAAGTCTTACCCTGATCTCCCTATCGACATTACCGGGGGGGCATTTACAGGCGTCAGGGCTTCAGGGCCAGTGTCTCCTTGAACCCAGAGTGGTTGGGTTTGGCCTCTGGCAGCGCCACAGGGTACTCCGTCGTGGCGAAGAGCAGCGTGTCCAGGGTGGTCTCCGTGCACTTGGCGATAAAGCGGATGAACGGCCTCACGTCGCCTTCATTGGCGGCCTCCAGCACGTGGTAGTACTCGGCTCTCTGCTCCTTGCGGATGGTAATGGGCGGGTAGCCGGCCTGCATCAGGATGAGGTTCATCAGCAGGCGCGAGGTCCGCCCGTTGCCATCGACGAAAGGGTGGATGTAAACGAGTTTATAATGGGCCAAGGCTGCAAACTCGACCGGGTGCAGGTTCATGGCGTCCTCGGAGTTGAGCCACTGTATGAACTCCTGCATCTGCTTCTCCACCTCTTGAGGGTGGGGTGGGATGTGGTGGCCCACAAGGACATGTGTCTTCCGAAACCGGCCGGCCTCCACTGGGTCCACGTACCCCAGCACCCGCCTATGGATCTCCAACACGTCAGTGATGGTGACGGACCCGATGCGGGAGACCAGCGTCGTGTTGATGTACTTCATGGCCGCGTGCATGCCGATGACCTCGTTCTGCTCCTCCAGGCTCTTCCCCGGGACGGCATAGCGGGTCTCCAGGATGTGTCTGATTTCCGAGAGAGTGAGGGTGTTGCCCTCAATTGCCACCGTGTGGTAGATGTGATGGTAGTACGTTTCCTCCATGACCCTGCGCAGCGCTGAGTTGCCCTTGGGGATGGACATGACCTTCTTCACTTTGCTGTCGATGATGCTGAAGTACCTCTGGTCGATCTCCTCCACCAGCGGTAGCGTCCTGTCCCGGTTGACCAGTGCCTTCTCGTGGTAGGGCGAGAGAGTCAGCGCCCTGGTGTATAAATAATCCGCCTGGATGATGTCCTTGTCTTCTTCTGAAAAGATGCCAAACTCATTGAGTGCGTCTACGAAGCCCGGGTCCATCTTGAGGGCGTGCAGGAAGAGCTTGTGGGCTTTCTCCCGCTTACCCTGGCGTTTCATTTCCAGGGCTTGGTTCAAAGCTGCTTTTGCTTCCAATTTACCGGCTAGAAGAGAGCCAAGGAAGCATGTCAGGGAGGTGGGGGAGTGGCCGAGGGCATCAGAGGAGCGGTCACCAGTGCTCATCGCCCAGCTGTGTACCCCGCAGCACTCTACGTACATGGACAAGCTTGTGGCCCACAGCCCAGGGGGCTGCTGTCCTGGCCACTGTCCATCTGTCCTCAGTCATTCTCTGGGTGGCATCACCTGGCCCTCTGCCTTCTTAGTGAGCAGCGGAGTTCCTCGGGGCCACAGCTCCTTTTAGGGAAGGGCCTGGGAAGGCACATTTCTAGGCTCTTAAATTCTTTTAACCTAGTGGTTTAGGTGGAGGCATGTTATGTGTTAGATTTTGCCCCAGGAGACCACTGCCGGTTATATGCCTGTGTGTGAAAGGGAGCAGCACCCCCAGAAGTATCCAGAATAGAGACTTCAGGGATGTCCCCCCAAAGCACTCTCTCATGTCCCCTTGGGTCTCTCAGCTCAGGCATCCCTTCCTCCAGGGAGCCTTCCCAGTATGCTCCTGTGTACCCCTCTGCATCTCTACCACTGCACTGGAGATGCCTGTAGCTCAGTCACCTATAAGCTTGTCTAGGCTGGGAGCGCAGGGCTGCTTGTTCACCTACAGCGCTGGGTCCTGCACACAGGACATCTGAATACCTATGGCATTCACAGATGCTGGGGAGAAATGACTAACTGTCTTACCCGGAGAGGCCTTGGTCTTGACCACTAGCAGTGCTGCCTCCCTGGAGGTGACGCTGAGCTCTGTAGAGGGGCTGGGGCACTTGGCTGTGTGCTGTGTCCTCTCCAGCTTGCTCCTGAGCAGGTAGAAGCCTTTGAGCAGGGCCAAACACTGTTCTTCCATGGCCCCCAGCGGCAGCAGCAGGGTCAGCAGGGACCCCAGCACCATGCTCAGCAGCACTGCCCATAGCAAACGACCCCAGACCGACATCCATTTTGGTTCAGTCACTGCCATCACTGACGCCATCGGCATGAGTGTCATCTGGACTCTGGGTGGGTGAGCCCCTTGTACATATCCAGTTGCCTGAGAGAGCAGGGTCTGTGATCTGCAAGGAACCAAGAATGGTAGGAGATGAGGCAGGGGACTGACTAATTCAGGACAGGTTTCTGACTTCCACTGGGCCAGGTCGATCCTACACCTCTTCATTCACTGGAGCATAACAAGGAGTAGCTGTAAGTGGGGACAGGCCAATTTGGAAGGATTGGTGCCCCCGCTAGGGTAATGTGACTCCCTGAAAAGTACTACTGCCCAGCCCAGTCAGGTATTTACTGTACCTGATCCTGCACTAAGGACCTCATGCACTCTGTTGCGATCTTCACCATACCCCACTCTCTAGATGAGGAAATGGAGACTCAGAGCAGTCCGTCCCTTACCCAGAGTCAATGAGCTCTAAGGTATCCCCTCACACATCTCTGGCTTCTGACCTCACACATTGGGTGTTTGGGAAATAGCACAGATCTGGATAGGTGCAGGCAGTTCTGGGGCCCATTCTTTGGTAAGCGCAGTTGTTAGGTAGTTTGGTTTATTGCCACAGGGTGGCCACCTCTTAGCCACAATGTTGATCCCCCTCTGGCCTTCCCTTCCTGGCCTGTCTAGCAGGGGCCCTGCCCCTTCTCATGTTACAAGTGTGTAAGACTGGATGAGAGGGTGACCCACTGGCCCACCTGTGACAATGGCATGCACTTGGGGCTGGCAGGGGGAAAGGAGGGGTCAGGTGCAAGCACCATTATGCTGATAATAATCAGCATTTATTGAGCAACTATGGTGTGCTGAGCACCCAGCTGAGTGCTGGCCAAGTCTCATCTCACCACCCTACCACCGAAAGCTACCCACTGCTCTCATTTCAGATGTGGGAAACTAAGGTGCAGTTTCCAGGAGGCCCACAAATGGCCCTGAATCCTGAGGGCCTAGGTCTCAACCTCTACCTTACTCATAAGCAGGGTCTGTGTGCCTGATCCCAGCTGCTCCTGGTGTGGGCCTCCCAGCGCCAGAACCGACCGAGAAGGTTTCTGATCGCTCCAGGTGGGGGAGTCTGCCTCGCTGGCACAGAAGCGCTGGCGCGGCTCGGCATACTCCCTAAAGGGGTCCTCGGCGTGCTGCGGGCTACGGAGGAGGGTGCGACGACAGCTTCATCCCGGAGGTCGAGGCGGCGCCCCATGGGACCGGCTCCTGGAGTTCGCCGGCGACGCGGGTGTGCGCGGGGTAGGAAGGGGCGCGCTCGGGGAGGGCGGATCTCACCCCACTACTCTAGGAAGGGAAACTGAGGCCCAGAGAGGCGAGGGAACCAAGGCGCGGCTTACGGCTGCCCCGTGGAGCCGCCCCTCTCCTAGCCCCCGTTCGCCCTACCCACCCGGGCTGGCGCCTTCCGAGGCCGCGGGCTCACCCCCTTCTCACCGCGCGCGGCTCCGGGGCCACCCGCAGCCTTCCCGGCACTCGCAGGCTCCGCGGCCCCCGGCTCCCAGGACCCCCTCGGTCGCCGGCCTACGAGCTCCGCCCTCGGCGGCTCACCATTGGCCCGCCCGCCACCCTCGGCTCATCCGATTGGCTTCCCCAACTCGTCCGCGCCTCGCATTTCCGGGTTCTCGCGTCAGCTACTGCTTTCCCGGGAAAAACGCGCCGTGGGGCAACCCCATTGGCTGGCTCCGGGGAGGGTCTCGTGGCGGCAACAGCCAATAGGCGACAGGAGGGGCGGGGCCTAGGCGAGTGGCGGGAGAAGCGGGTGCCCTAAGGCCTAGGGGGTGCTGTTGGGCCGGCAGCTCGCCTTTACCCCTAACTTGCTGTCCTTCCTTCTGGTCTCCTCGACTCGCCTCAGTTTCCGTAGATCTAAGATAAGATTACGGATGGTTTACACTTTGTACAGGCCCCCTGCCCCCCGCACCCAAGTTCAGAACCCCAACTTTTGCCACCATGCCGTCTTTCCTCTTTCTCTCACCTTTTCCTCCTTGTCAACACCCCCAGCCCCCGGACTTTGACATTTTCATCCTCCTCAGAAGGGCCCCGCTGGTTTTTTGTCTTCCCTATGAGAAGGCTGTTAACCCTTGAAGCAGAGCGCTGAAGACTCGGTCTTCTCCACAAGCTCCGAAGTCCCGCGCCCAGAGCTGCGCCCGAGACGGTAAGCTTGCACACGCCAGCAGCCGGGCTCAAGTCCAGATGTTGTCACCTCTGCTGTGTGATCCCGGACAGGTTTCTCTGAGCCTCAGTTTCCCCTGGTGAAACGGACAAACAGCCTACCTCTCCTTTGCCCTCAAGTTTGGGGGTTGCAGAAAGCTGATCACTTCAGGCTTCACCGTCTCCTCCACACTCATTGCCTCAGTGCAGCACTGATTGTCAAAGCCAGGTTCGGGTCCCAGCTCTACCTCTGCAAGTCATTGACCTTCCTGGCCCCTTGCTTTCCTGAAACGGGGCTGGTAATGTGGACAGTGCCCCCTCGCAGGGTTTTGTGTGGGATGAAGTGCCAGCCTACACATCTTGGCACAGCGCACATACTTGATAAGTAGCTGCCTTGCCATCATTCCTTTGCTGCTTTACTTGTCCTTTTGTAGGTTTTAGTGTGATTCCAAGGAAGGCACAGCCACAGAACGCCGCGTCCAGGTCCAGGCAGATCTGTGTGGTCATGAAGGACAGCATGGGGGAACGTTGTGAGGGGAGGGACCAGACCCTTGCTCATTGGGCCCCCCCTTTTATAACATCCACCAGTTTTCCCCACCGCCTAGCCTGACCTTTGGCGTAGATTAGATGGTCAGGAAGTATTGTTGATCTAAATATGAATAGCCAAATCGGGACAAACCATGGAGTTTTCAAGTAACAAAACAAAATCAGATCAGGCTGGTGGTTATTTCTGGGACTGCTTGTTTCCCCTGAATTTCATTTTTGATTGTCCAAGCAGTAAAGTCATTATTAAAACCTTCCCTGCCCCCCTCGCTCCCCCAGGAAGGGGTACTGTCAGCTAATGGTGGGGGAGATGGAAAACTCTAAGGTTCTGGGGTCAAATATGTATTCAGATGCAAGGCCTGCTGCTTCCTGGCTGTGCGTCTATGAGTAAGCCACTTGTCCTGCTGAGCGGTGTATCGTAGAACTGTGGGCTTCTGCCCTTCTTAGACATTTGGTGATGTAATAATTTGCTCTCACTGTCCTCTTTTCCCTCCCTCTTGGGACTTCAGTGTAACCTCTTTAATGACCTTTGGCCACAGGTAGCAAATCCAGATGCTACCAAGACCTGTAAATGAGTGAAACTGCCTGAGTGTGAGACAATAGGGAGAGGTGTGGAGTGTAGTGAAGATGAAGTCTGTCAACTCTAGCCTGTATTTATTAGGCTATGATACAGTCCAAAAGTTGGACAGATTTTCCAGATTTCAAAAGAAAATTCAGGCCTAGATTTTCAAGAAAAATATCCAGATTCTTAAATAGTTGGCATGCCTTCCCTACAAAGGGCTGCCAGTTGTAATTGGGATTCTCATCTAAAGCTGGGCGCAGGCTAGAGACAACACAAATTAGTCTCAGCAAATGATCGCACCACTCTCTGTGGACACCAGGGGGCAGTAGTTCACCTGGCAGCTCATCCTTCCATTCCTTTGTCAGGAGTTGATAGTCAATTTTCTTTCTTGACTTTGTTTTCACTTGTGTTGCACGCACAAAATATGGTCCCTGAAGCAATATTCAAATGTTGGCTTTCTCCATCTTAAGCATTCAGTGTTGGGTGGAAATTGCCTCCCTGTGGCCCACGCAGAAGTTTTCTAAAAGCTTACCTTGACACTTGACAAAGAACCTGAAAGTGGTTGCATAGGAAATGTGTCCATTATGCAAAACAAAACAAAACAAAACAACCTTGTGCCTCTTTAAGAAACAGCAGTCAAGTACTTCTTGCTGGCAGAAGCAGCTTCTTTTCCTTAGGAAACACAAAACTCCCCATCTGAAGGCCAGATTGCTCTGGGAAGGCTCCAGAATGACTCTACTTCATTTAGAGGAAAATACACCATATCTGTGCTCTCCCCTAGTTTCCTTTCATTTCCCAGCCTGCTGGGTACTTTTTTTCCTTCTGACTTAATGTTGCTACAGAAGAAGAGGCCCCTCCCCACCCAGCAGCTTGCTCTCCTCTCCAATTTCTGCCTCATTGCCCACCCCCCCCATTATTTTATTTTTGCATATAAGAACTGGGGCACAGACCAGAGGTATGGGGGGCTGGGGTGAGAGGATTCACCGGAGACAGAGTGGGGAGCAGAACAGGCAGATGACTGAAATATATACTGCTGAGGGAGCAGCAGGCGAGGCAGGAGAGGTCTGCTGCTCCATATGGGCAGCTCCCTGGCCTGGAATTAAACTCAGGTCCTAGAGGTGACAGTGTTGATACTTAACCCCATGCCAGCAGAGAGGCCCCTTCATTCCCATTCTGTTGCATCCCCAGGCCCAGTTTCTGGGACCCCCAAGAGACGGGAATTGGGGCATCCCATGTCAGTGACCTTGGGTTCAGCATGTTCCTCATATCATACAGGTCAAGTTAATTTTCACCAACCTGTTAGATCTCAGACATGCAAATAAGTATTGTCTTTAGAGCAAATCATTTGAGAAATGTATTTCTCAAAAAATGTAAGCAAAACTGCTTTTTTTCTTGTTATCTAACCAACAACTTTATTTCTTAACAACAAGATGGGCTAGTTAGACATATAACAGAAGGCACAAATAAACATGAAGAAAAATCACCCTAACACATTTAATTATATTAGATATTTTTCTGTGTACATCTAACTGAACAGTTAAGAATACTCTCCTAGTGGGGGAAAAATCAGTTAGGTTAGATGTTACGTTTTGATAGGCCGAACACAATTACCTTTATTTGGGGACTCTCATTTTCTTCATAACAATGCTCTATGCATCTTTCTGTGGTTTTGATTTTTTTGGTTCAGTACAATTTTTTAGAGAAGTTCCAAGTCATTCATTTTGTATTGCTGCATGCTATTCCACTTAAAATTTACTTCCCATATACCCACTGATGGGCATTTGGATAACTTCCAGTTCTTCCCAATTACAAAACTGCATCGCAGTGTAATTCCTAGGTGCTTTTTTAAAAAATTATTTATTTATACATACAGAACTGGGGTACAGGCCAGAGGTGCAGGGGTGGTGAGAGGATTCACCAGAGACAGAGCAGGGAGCAGAACAGGCAGATCCACAAGGTGCACTGCTGAGGGGAACAGTGGGCGGGTCAGGTGCCTGCTGCGCCTTGTGGATCACCTCCGGGGCCGGGGATCGAACTCACACTGAAGCAGTTGTAGCTAGCTTTCAGTGCTTCATCCTAACCCGTTGAGCCACCAGGGAGAGCCCCTAGGTGCTTTTTTGGGCACACATGCAGAAGCTTCTCTAGGGCAGGGTTTCTAAAGAATCACAACCTATAACTGGGCATGCTCCAGACCAGTACAGTCCTTTCTGATCTTCCTGGATCTTAGCTATAGTGGTAATGATTGTTCCTGCTAGTGTATCTGACCATTGACAGTGGTAACTACCGTCTGTTAAATACTTATGGGGTGCTAAGTAATTGCTACATACTCTTTTACTGGATTTTGCTACTAGTGCCATGAAGTAGATACAGTTGTTTCTCCTTATCCTTGGGGGGATAGAATCCAAGATCCCCAGTGGATATCAGAAACCATGAAGAGTACTGAAGCCAATATATCCTATGTTCTTTCCTTATGCACATGTACCTATGATAAAGTTTTAACTTATAAATTAGGCACAGTAGGAGCTTAACAACAATAGTAATAAAATGAACAGTTGTAACAATATGGTCATAACAACCTTTTGGTCAATCACAGTCTGCATTTACCACGGTGTGTCTAGGTGTGACAGGCTGGAACTTCTAGATATGTATAATTGCTGTGTTCATACCATGATGAAATTGCTCAAAAGCACATTTCTCCGGATGTATACCCATTGTTAAGCAATGCATGATTATATACTGTGATAAAAATAATGTGAATGTAGTTGCTCTCAAAATAGTGTATTGTTCAGAATCTTTTTGAACCACACATGACTAGGGCTACTGAAACCATTATAGTGAAACTGTATCATTAAACCCAATTTGTGGAAGGTGAAGCCAAGACTCTGAGAAGTTAGGTAATTACCTTGAGGTCACACAGCAAGCAAATGGCAAAGCCAAGGTTCACATCTTGTCTTCTGGACTAAAACCTTAAGGTTTTAACCACTATGAGATCCTGTGATTTCAGAGCTGACAGGTTATACTTATACTTTAGCTTTTAGGTGGGGAAACTGAAGTTGATAGAGGAAAAGAGAGAACGATGACACAAA